TACCTGTTTTTTAGTAAAATTTTGAGCTTGGCAAAAATAAATTCACATGATCATATAAAATGTCGAATAATATTACGATTATGAATACGATACACAATTTAGAATACGTATAAAATATACAAGTCACTCTAGATATAGTGAAGTGATTTATTATGGTATATCGAGTTTTAGTAACTTCACTATATCGAGATTTTAATCAGCCTTCACTGTATCAAGAGTTCATTATAATGAGAATGACTCGTGAGTATTTAAAAATACAACATTTCATATGATAAAAAAGAAAAGGAGAAGACTTGAGTGTCATGATCATGAATTATTTATTTAGAAGATTGACTATCAAAGCCAAAAAAAAATACAAATATAATAAGGTAGGTGACAAAATCATCTGAGTTTTAGGGAGGGAGGGGGGTAAAAAAAAATTAAATTAATAATAAAAAATAAAAAAATTGTAGATTAAAAGGGGTAGGCTCCTAATAAAAAAATCAGGTGATTAATGACACTACCCTAATAGATCCTAGCTTCGAAGGGAAAAAAAAAATTGACTTATACATGAAAGAAAGAAGATTATTAAGACAGTGAATAAAGAGAGAAAAATTTAAATATGATAGTATAAGAATTTGCAACGCAAAAAATCTGTTAAAGGAACGGATTATTCATCAAAAATAATGAGGGCATCCATTATAAAGCCATACGTAATTTTAGGATGACCTTTATTTATCTTCTTTTCAGTAGAAAATTTACATGATAGAGCATTGGTTGACTGGATCGGGCTGTTCAGTTGTACCGAGAGTAGAACCCTTGATAGAGTGCATAATGGAACATTGATTAACTGGGTCAGGCTGTTCAGTGGTGCCAACAGTGGTAGAAGAGATGAAAGTTGGATTCATTTTGTTATGTTTTAGAAAGTTTTATTGATTTATTTGTAAAATTTGAAGGATCTGAAGTTAGAGATTAAAGGAATAAAGGTCGTCTTTTATAATGAATTTCAATATAATGCCAAGAATTTGCATTAACATAATAATACGATTAAACGAAGCAAATGCTATTATGATTGCATCTTAACATTATTCTTTGATTTAGATATTATATTACAGAACAATAATAAAAGTATAAAAATTTCGGATAAATGCACTTTCCGATTGATAAAGATTTTGTTAATTTAACCATTGTTTTATTGATTTTTAGAAGGAACAATAAATATCTTTATGAATCATAAGATCATGTCGCGATCAACTGTGATCAAGACAATCTTGTACAATTCTAATATTATATAAAGTTTAATTTTTATTTTAGCTAACATTAAACCTTAATTACTTAACAACAGTCACATGTATTATTTGTTTTATTCCATACTAGAATTCCCGTATTGTCGCGAAATAATGCGTAGGGGTGTAACTTTGAACTTTGTCCTAAATTAAGTTTAATTCGGGCCATTATCCGAAATAATGCCCATTTAGCGGCAATACGGTAGAAGCATTCCCTTCTTCATTGATTTATCGGAAAATGACTGCAAAATTAGTAAATATGTTAATAAGTGATTAGTAAATCGCATTTTTTTGTTTTTATTGCTGCATCTTCGATTAGCAATAGGTATGCTGTTTTCACTTTACTGATTCGACAGTTATTTAATAAACTATCGAATCAATAAAGCAAAAGGTATGAATAAGAACCGACATTCTGGTCTAAGCTTTTCCGAATTAGCCCGATCGTTCCTAGCAAAGCCCATGTATTAAAAAAAATAACTGTATTATTGTATAAGCACGAGCATGCTATAGTTATTTGTAATAATAACCCTCGTTATCATGATACAATGATTAATGGACTGAATGTTTTTATTTCTTAAAGATAATGTTAAGGGCATTCATTCTCAAGCACTTCTCTCAATGACTTCGATAAAGAAATTGACTGACCGGTTTGATCAGTTAGACCAGTCAGATTCTTTGTTGAGTTTGTTGAGTCCTCTGAAAGACCTAAACAAAATGCATGAATATGATGGAGGCGATAGAGAACAATATTTATAAAATAAAATACATTATTATGAATTTCAATATACAAAATATGGTTAAGTTTTTAATTTTGTTAGCTAAAATTTTTCTACGTACGTAGTACATTTTTATTAATTGCATTCAACTACATATGTACGTACGTACGTATAAAAATAACAATATTTAGGCAGTTAAATTTGTGATTATTCCAAATTTGTTATAGAAAAATATGGCTTGAGTAAATATGTATTATTATGTATTATATACAGCATAAAGAAATGAATCAATTATACATAGTAACTCAAACTTTTCAGTTCAGATTCACAATATATAGAAAAGGTTATTTTTACATTTTTTGACTATGCAAATCTATAGGTTATTCATGTATACGATCTATGATAATATATAATACATAATACGTAGAACAATCTCAAATGAAGATCCTCTAAATTTGTAATACAGTATAATTTTGAAAACTGACAATTTGTATTGTTGTTTATATCATTTTCTATAATCTAATATATGATACAGTAGCACAATAATAGTTGCTTTCCAAATCCCGAATTACTATATGAAGAAATTACAAGCCCAATGTTTCAAGAATTTTAAGAATTTTCAGAATTTGTAGTGATAATTTTCTGACTCATTGGGAATTATTGGAAACTCCATTTCTGCTTATCTACATACAGATCAGAATATTATTCATTAATCTTCCGTTATCCTGACATCAGGGTTGCGAATAGACATAGTCTAATTGTCCAATTGTCTAATGGTCTAATTGTCTAATGTAATTGTCCAATTGCCTAATGGTCTAATTGTCTAATGTCTATTATTCAATTTGGTTGAGAATAAACAATGTTTATTTAATTAAAAAGTTAATTAGACAATATGTCTATTCATAATTTGTCTATTGGTCTAATGGTTCAGTCGATTATAATTCCAAATTATAGTAAGAAATCAGATGTGTGATTAACATCTGAAATTTTTTTTTTTAGTGCAATTCTGCACAGGTTTGCAAAATGTTAAATTGCGAATCCAGTCCGGTCCGATAAAATGGATTTGGTCCGTAAATCACATGAAAACATAATACATTTAGATCCTGTATCAGATCTTGAATTGAATCCATCGAATAAGTCCACCCAATCAACTTAATTTTGTATTATTATAATAACTCAATTCAGGATTTAACGCTAAGTCTTTTAAAATGTATTGTGTTTTCATGTGATTTAAGGATCGAATCCCTATCGATCCTTGAAGGATCGGACCGGACCCAATCCCAAAGGACCGATTAACATCCCTATTAAAACTTCAAATTTGATACTATAAATGCAGAAATTCTAAAAAAATTTGCAGATTTTTTGCAAAAATCTGCAAAAATACCGATTTCTGCAGATTTACGCTTAATTTTCCTGACGAACTATAAAAGTATAATGTAGAAAAGAAGTATAGTATAAAAGCGGAGAAATAAATAAAGAAACCCAATTTTTGATTTCAATAATGAGCGATTAAAATTTATATATCTTGCTAATGACAGATAAGATATTACTATTTTAGTTTGCGCTTCAAATAAGTTGGATATTTCAGGTTCAACAGTAGTTACTTCAGGCAAGCTAGGCATTTTTAAGATGTTTGCTATAGACGAACATGCTAAAGGTTCCTTAGTTATTAGATCAACTATTTCAATATTTTCATCTGATTCACAATGATTTACTTTTTTATATTTTAAAAATTCATTATAATTTATATTACATAAATTAATAAATACTTTTATAGATTTTACTACGATTTTTGATCATAATTTTTCGATCATAATTTTCAATGCAGTTTCGACAAATATTAATAAAACTTTGTTGTTCAGAATTATAACTTTAGTTAAATTTTCTTTAGCAAAGTTAATAAATTCTTGTCCATCTAACTAGAGTTCCAATCCGGATAAATCTGTCATCTGTTTATCCATATCCGTTTAACTATTGATATCCAGATAATCTGACAGATATTCAGATAATTATCCGGATATTACAGCTGTTTTTATAAATTCTGGAACAACTGAATCAATAAGTTTCTAAGTTTGGTCAAATTTGTTGCTTATTGATTCAGACTCGGTAACACTTTTCATGTTCTAGAATTTATGAAAACAGCTGTAATAGTAAATGGATAGTAAATAGATATCTGATATTTATCCGGATAAACGCTAATCAAACTTTTTTTATTAGCACTTTCTCGTGTAATATACTTATTATTTAGATCCCTTTTATGTTTGTTGTTACGATCTGTTGGTTGGCAAGAACAACCCTCATTATAAATTTTATTTTTTTAATATTAGAGATATAGCATCTGCTCTGGCTTTTATTAAGTGTTCAGAGCAAAGCAGAGGATACAGTACTCTGTCTTTACAACTTCAAGTGATTATTAAGATCATGTAGAGTTGTCTGTCTAGCTACTTCCGTGATGCTAATTGGTTGAATACATGATAATTATTTATATATAGGAGCCTCCACAGCAAAAGAAAGAGATGGGCCAAAAAATTTTTTTTAAAAAATTCAAATATCTTAAAGAATTAGTTTGATTAGAATAAAATTATTATAAAATTAAAATATCTAATTTTTGGCCCATTTTCTTCTTTTGCTGTAGAGGTT